ATGGAATCTATCTAAGCTGTCTGAAAAACGTACTGAGATTTCCCAACTTCCGCAATTTATTTCTTTTTTTATTGTGAAAGCGCCGTTAAATGTTGACCAGATTTGTAATGGCTACGGGCTTAGCGAATTACCAAGGATTTTTTTACTTTTATTTTACAGCGATGCTAGTTTTCATAATTCTATTCAAATAAAAAAATTATTAAGAGGAAGTAGATGGTCCGGTATGGCGGTCATAAATAGGCTAAATAGTGGCAAAACTATTTACTAAAAGCCAACATTTCGAACCAGACTTTGCAGGTCTTCTTCAGGGCTAGAACGGACAAGATACAAAAAATATATAGAGAATTCTGGAAGTTACATAATATTAAGACAAAAAAATTATAAACAATGTGAATAAGCTTATTAAAATTATAAACAGTAATTACATTAAAATATAAACAGAGTAAGCTAAGTAACAAGATCCTAAACTGAAGTAAATAGATGGTAACAATTATTGTAGTGTAATATATAACATATGCAAATGTGAATATACTTCTACAGATCTACAGGAGAGATTGAAAGAAAAAGAAAAAGGATCTAATATGAAATAATAAACATAAAGGAATATGGAGAAAGATCAGAAAAAGGAAACCTAAAAAATAAATAAGTATATAAAATTAGAAGAATAAAAATAGAGACTTACAGGTGTGTTCAGCTAGGAGTTTCACTTAGAACTGAAAAATCAGGGTAAGGATAGATATTGTGGTCAAACTATTAAATATTAAAAAATTATTTAGGAACAAACTAGACATAGATAGTACTTATATCAGTTCTCCATATTTCTGGAATTATAAGATTTAGAAAACGCACAAGAGAATAAAAAAGAAAAAGTGATTTTAAATATTCAAACTATGTTTAATAATATTCTGCTAAAATACCTTCTTTGCAAGTTCTCCGCCATTAGGCGTCATAGAAGGCTGTGAATTATTAACAACTCGATCAAACAGAACATCAGGGGACTTCCCACCACTGCCACCTACATCGCTAGCTCAATGATCTAATATTGTACAGGCATTCTCTTTTACGCCGCCCTATTATATTGTTCTAACTTATATTAGTAATTGCAGACTCTTATTTATAATAATGTTACATATTAAAATAATAACATTACATCAATTAAAATTGAAAATTATGTAATAGTTAACAAGAAAGGAATTTATTCCTGAAATAAAACATTAAATATGTACATATGTAAATATCTATTTTTTAGTGAATTAATGTAGAAGTAGAAAAGATAACTAATAACATATAAACATTTTGAATAGTTCTACCAAGGTAATTAATTAAAAAATGTTTTGAATGTTTATATTTAATTTATAGAAAAGTATATTACTTTTACAAATGTGTATTAATTACTTATTTACGGATTAATTATATTTTATTTTAAATTATATAAACGTGAAATAAAATGTCCAATATTGTATATTGACTGAATGTGTTAAGATAATTTATTTTATTTTTACTTATTGATTTATTTCTTATTTCGCTCATGTATTATTTATGTTTGTTATTCTATTTTTATATTTACTTTTCCTTAGTTTACTCATTTATTTTTTATTCATTCATTTATTTATTTTTTATTTCCCTATTATATGTATACATGGTATGAATGAACACATTTAACCTTGTTACTTATTGCCCTTCAATAGGGCAGATTGTATTATTTACTGTTTATTAAAAAATAAATATGGATTTAAAGGAATATAACACTTTACTAAATATATTATTGTTATGACCTCACAATAGAATTCTTTCTGAAAAACTTCACTAATTCTCTGAGCAGTCTAGTCCTACGTCTTCGGTCTAAAAGAGATTAACTTGATGGTTATCTTTGAATTATGCTAAAGATATTTCTTTAATGTTTTGGTTGTGCTATTATTTTATTCTGTGTCGTTGTGGTAATGTATTAGTAATTATTAATGAACGACTTCATGATTGGTGGATGAAGCGTTCATACTTGTAAATAAGTTTAAATTTTATATTTGTAATTAGTATAACTGACTAGCGCCATAGCTCATGATTTTATTGTGCATAGTTTTTAATTTATTGTTTTTCGTAGTTCGCGGTTTTCAGCTAAGTTTTTCTGTATGTATTTATTTTTTTAAATTTTGTTAGTCAATTGTAAATACATAAAAATCCGGCTCCAGACAATTCAACAAACAAACAACATTGAATATAGCAAAATAATTTTATATATATAATTACTTTATAGAGTAATGTAATAATCTGTCATGATATGGACAATGGTTACAGAGAGAAAGCTTTGAATTCATTCACACCATGTTTAAATAAAATATAAATAGATAATAGCAAAACAATAACAATCAAACATTACATGCAAGAAATAAAAATATAATAACTTAAAGATATTAAAATGACACAGACATACCTTTTGCCTTTTGAAACAAACGATAAACAAATTAATGAAAATAAAAAGAATGATAATCACAAACTTTCATCAGATAATTGGTTTTTAACTATATGAATGGGAATGCAGTGAGATAGGAATGGACTGTGTATTTTTAATGGCTAATGAGGAGATATTCAGTCAGCACTGGCAGTGTATTGCAGACTAATCGATTGATTCACTCGATAACAATTCTCTCGTTAGCTATGAGATGATTAAAACTTTTGGTTGACCCAGTTCACGAAAGATATCTCAGAACAAAAAATATTAGTCATAACAGCCCAAATACTACTTAATGTGTACAACAACCACGTATGTGTACAATAACATAACGTTGGTTAAAAAAATAAATAAAAACTGAAGAGTAAATTTTCCTCTGATTTTTGTTGGGAAATTAGATAAAAGGCGATTTATTGCTTACATAACTATAATGAAGATTGAACTAAACTCGTTTTTTTCTAATATTTTATTTTAAAACATTTTATAAATGGTTTTGAATTTAATTTATCTAAATGGCAGAGTTGGAGGAATTCAAATAAAAATTTTCAATCCCAAAACACGATTTGGACGGGCTATAGAGGCGTGCAGATACCCACAAAATGCATATTTCTATAGCATAAATAATTTTTCATACAAATTTTGAACCCTCAAACCTGATTTGGAGGGATAGTAGAGGTGTGAAAATCCATAAAACCCCCAAAAAATCTTAGAAATGACGAAATTTAGTCTGAAATTAAACTTCACTTTTATGATATTATTCTGCCTACAAAATAACCTTACATTCCATAATTACTTTCATTTAATCAAAATGAGGACCTTCTTCGAAAAAAAAAAATTTAAAAATCGTAGTTTATTTACAATTATCCTTGCTGTCTGTATCAAATTTTCCCCTGGTTGTCAGACTTCCAAAGTTGTTCTGCCTAGAAAATAATCTTACAATCCACGGTTAATTTCTTTTTTTGTTCTCTGCTTTAAATGTTTATGAAAATAAGAATATGGTTATTCTTCCACTATAGAAAAGTAAATTCTTCAAAAATTTTGGTGTCGTACTTGCCAATCCATTCTGGGCACATCTGACTAGAATGAGGGGAATGTATATTGGGAAGTTCCATTAATCAATTGAAACCAGCAGCGTTTAGGAACGACCTGATGGATTGCATTGGAAAACATATGAAAAATCAATATAAATATGTAAAGTAAAATTTACAAATAACGACACAGAGGATATATGCTGCGGATCTATCGATCATAAAAGCCGATGGAACCGCTGATTCAGTCGATGAATAAATAATCACGACGGGCACTATCGATTTTAGTTTAGAAACAATCCGATGGATTTCCGATGAGCTCAGTTCTGAGTTTTTGAATTCCTACTAACAATATCCACCAGATATCCACCAGATATCCACGAAATCACCATGGTCGTGTTCTATGTGTTATGAACCGGAAATAAAATGTATTCCTACTGTTAACGCCGCATAAGCTCGTTTAATCTTTATTTATTTTTTCTCACCATCCCTTTTTTTAATGTTGATTCGGTAGAATGTTTATTTTCTTCTTTTTGTAAAAAACTGAGGGATATTGCGCTAAAATGTATCTTGGTGTATATTGTTTATATATTTAGGTTTATTCGCGATGTTTAACGCTTATTTATAAGCACCAGCCCGGCAGTAATACCCAGTCTTGGGGATTAATACACCAAAATAATGTGATAATACTGCTGGGTTGTCAGCCTGGAGCTAGCCTTTGTTGACATTAGATCCATGTAGAGGACGTCTACCCCCACCAGTCCAGATTCACCTCATCTCACCAGGCAACAGCCTAGCGCCATTTTCAAAGAACAGCTGTTCGGCGCATCGGCAGTCGTCGATCGAGATCGATAGGCTATCGATTCGATATTTCCTCAACTACGACTGTGTAACATCGTAGAAGGTAACCTCGTTGGAAGCAGAACCTCCAACTAGCCTCGTTTTTTTATTATTCTCCACCGTCAAGAAAGACATTAAATTATTTTAATTTTTTTCTTCGCTAAATTAGTTTTGTTCTTTTGAACAGTTATGGTTTTCTCTTGTTTTATATATGTTTTATTTTGATGGACAATTTTTTTTTTATTTCTCATTGAGTATTTTCTTTAGGTTTTAAATCTTGTATGTATATATTTCACCGCTTTATTTCGATTGAATAAATATTGTAAACATCTAGAAGGCGATTTTTTTATTTGTTCATTTTAAAATTTTTAATTAATGAATAATTTTATAATATTTCTTGTGAATGTATTTTTTTTTCTTTTACAGTTCTCATTTTCACTCGTTTCCCTTCTTTCTCACCCTTTAATTTTACTCGAATTTTTCCCACCCTTGAGGAAATTTTTTCACCGGGGAAAGATTTGTATTTTCAAATTTGAAATACCCCAACACCTACTCACCTTCGAAGATCTTATTATCCTATTATTGTTAGCGAAAATAAGAAAAAAAAAATAAAGTGATAATATTGGAATTCTAGGATGTACGGATGGTGTAGCCATCGAAAAGAGATCCATCGTGGGAATCCCTAAATGGAAGGCAACCGCAGTCAATGGAGAAGACCAGTGGATTGGTGGATCAGGTTACAAGATACTCTGACTCTCACAGTTCCAGTCCTGAAGAAGAAGAAGAAGCAGAAGATAATTATTAGACCATTAGGGCCAGATCGCACCTTAACGAAAGACATCAAGGGCAACCACCTGCGGACCGTGTAATCGTAACCTTGACATCAGCTCATTACGTCATCCAGCTACGATACATTATTCGGTTAACGACTCGTTCATTCATTCGATGTCGATTTCTGGATCGTAAACAATGTTCTCTTAAAGTAGATTACGATTTACAACCGTTCCACAAGAACATGCAGATAATTGCACGGAAAGTCTTGCATGTTCGTTACTACTTGTCGGCATTATCCTACAAAACACATGACAGGTGTAACTTATCAGCGTTTTAAGTTACGCGCTTATTAAACAAATAAAGCTCGCTCTGTCAAGAACTAACAGCCAGAATTTGAGGAATTATTTTTGTGTTAAGACATACCGTGTATTAGATAGCTTCAGGCTTCATATCAGCCTAAGATTCAAAGGATCAGGGAAGTAACCACAAAGATCGATTGATCTGTAAAATGTGCAGCTACGCTAACACAACTTCATGTAAATATGGTTTATAGTCACTATAAATAAGGCGCTGATACAAACATTTAGGCACATTAAAGTCGACTTAAGAGAAGACTGTTTTTCCACACTCATCTAAACGGCACCTAGATCTAGTGGTTAGAAAATTAGTATATACACATTGTATAGGAGGATCTAAAAGTGTTTTATAAATAAATTAAAACATACTGCTTTCAACTTTGTTGGTATAAATTTATCAAACTTAAAACGTTTTTGATGTTAGTTTTTATTTTAAGAATTTGTCCTAAAGTCTTTCTACATAAATGTTGGATCTTGTTCAGTTAATCATATAATCATTCAGGTAAGTCATCAGGTCATTTACTTACCATAAAACAGACGTTTTTGAAACCATTGATGTAAATCAGCCCGTTCATTTCTTCAACGATTGAATCACAGAATGCTCGCATACCGGGTTTTGGATGTAACCTCATTTTTGTTATTTATCTATTTACTTCATATATTTTCAGTATCTATATTTATTTGTGTTTTGAAATTGAACAATTCAGCAGGTACATATTTCTACACCTTTTCTTTTCAATTTTTCTTGTGTTAATAACCTTCCATTTAAATACAGTTGGTTGTTTCTAAACTTAAAATAAATCGTTTCCCATCTTTGCTGGACTCAATCGATGGAATTAGCGCTTGATGTAAAAAAATTCCATAATATAATACTTTACCGCGTAATATAACTTATAATAGATCGATATGGATATAGAGTTGGTGATTAAAAAAAAACAATTATCACACGCTTTAAAAACATAGTATCTCGTTTATTTAAATATAGATTATCAAATCACTCCTTAGCGATTATCATAAATCTCAAGTAATTCAACCATTAACCGTTGAAAATCCCTTTTATATGACTGATGTTTTACTTGATTGATGGCATATAATTTGGTGATAGTTAAAATACCAAGACCACGAATTTAAATGGCTCACATTACAGAAATATTTGCACTTAATTTCTTCTTCGGTTATCAGTATCTACAAATAATTTTAAACCGTAAGAATCTTTCAGATAAAAAATTCAAGGTTTTCACCGTGTATTACAAATTAAAAATTATTTAGATCAAGGAATGACACATATTACTGTTAGTGCAAAAGGTCGTATGTAATTATTTTCTACGTTAATTCTATTTCGGCTAAAGGTGATATTTTATAGTCTGCAGCTGTTATAAGCAGTCAGCTACAATGGAAAATTGTGTAGGGAAATAAAATATGAAATTATACTAATAAATCATAAAAAAATAATCAGCTTTTATGCTCTTTTGTAAACAAAAAAAATTAATTTTTATATATGTCCTTTTGGCTTTAACTAGTGATATTTTGACTTTTCTTGTATAGCAGGGGTCGAATTTTCGATTTGTCGTTTACAACGGATCTTTACGTTTTAGTGATCACCCCCCCAAAAAAAAACAATTTCAGACATTGGTCTGTCTGTCACTAGCAGATCCAGGATTAAATTTTGGGAGGAATGCCTTCAGCCCGAAAACTTTTTTTTTTCATGTATATAACGAGAATTAATTTTCTTTTTTTAAAAAAGGAAAGAAATTTACTCATATGAAACACTACTTATATGAAATAGTAGCTCTTGAAGTTCTATTAAATGTAATTACACAAACAATACTACTTTATGAGATAGTTTTTAATATTTTTTTCTATGAAACATGGTTATATTTTACCATTTTGGGGGGGAGGGGGAGAGGAAGGCTTCAGCCCGAAAGCCTCCCCTCCTCCCGTAGATCCTCCTGTGTCTGTCTGTGAGTAACACGTTTTGTAGGGTGCCCATCTTACCCAAGATGGATGGCGCAAGAACTAACCCCTCCCCTCTCAAGAAATTTTATCAAGCAATCTTCTTTAAAACAGTGCTTGGCAAAATAGAATTAGAAAAATCCTAAATCATGTACAATTACATGAGATCTGGTCCATGTTTTTTCCTTTGTCTCTGATTTGAAACTTTTCAATCTGAAAATTCACAATTCCTTTGCCATTTATCTCTCTCGAAAAATTTTATGACACAACTTGCGCCATGAAACCCCATTGTGGACACTCCTGCATGATATCAACCATCGATGGATACGAAATAGCGGTGCAGACTGTTGGGCTGTTCTCGACTAGCAAATAATGAAGATAACTGCTTTAGAAATTTTCACTAACAGAATTTACTATTTTTACTTTCTTAGAAAGGCAAATGGAACCAATTCTCTATTTACCTTTTCCAACAGATAGTTACATTTCAGTGCTCCCTGAATTAAAAAACAAAAACAATTTCAGTCATTGGTCTTTTTGTGTGTAATATGTTCATCTCACGAACGGGTGAACCGGTTTTGTAGCTTATTTTTATATATTTCATGAAATAAACCACCGATGGCTATGAAACAGTGCAGACTGTCGCAAACCAAGAGAACTACTTCATGGGTGATAAATATTCGGGAAGCAGTCATTATAAATTTTTTATCAGTGCCGACGTTTCAATCCAAACATGTGGGTCATCATCAGGAGTATAAAACGAAATGTAATTTCATAGATAAGTGACGAATCTTAATTTCAGTTCTCAAATTCCTAAAAAAACTTTAATGAAAGACACGAAGAAAATTGGGAGAATTCAAAACGTAGATGGTTCAGAAGTCGACGGATTGAGACGGGTTAAATGTTTTTAACGATTTAAATGCGGACATAAAAATTTGGTAAAATGTACCAATTTTGAGATAAGGGAGAGAAATACTCTATTTAAATAATTGCTGCCCTACTATATTGGATTGCTCGATACACAGCATGCTCATCAATCCTTTTTGGATATAGTACTTAATTTTGAATCACACATTAATAGAAATATATATATATTTAAACATAACTATTTAATTGGGAATAAGGTCACTGATCAATGATTTAATAAACTACTATTATTAATGTACTACTACTGATTAATTATTTAATAACGTGTTCCGAGCACTGAAGATATTCAAGTACTGCTCGAAACATAACCTGATGATGATCCACATGTTTGGATCGAAACGTCGGCACTAATAAAAAATGTATAAAGACTGCGTCCTGAATATTTATCATCCATCATAAGTAGAACAGTCGACTAACTTCATCCATGATAACCGCTGTACAAATTAGTATATAGGTATCTTAAAAAAATAAATCCATAAACCGAGAATTTATTATGTTAAAATATTTCAATACTTGGTTAGAACACAGGAACGTCTCCTCACCACCTCAGCTCTATTTGCTGAGAGCATCCCATATCGGATTTTTTTACGTAATACAATTATTGAGAAAAAAAAAAACTATTTAGTCAGGCAAAGTGTAATGCAGTATATTTTTGACATCAACTACAACCATTCATGTACCTAATATTGACACACTTATCAATCAAGATCGAACACAAACATTGCAGATAATCGCTAACATGTGTGCCTCTTTCAAAACCCCACCCACAGAACTGCCACCACTGTCGGCGAGATCAAAGCTACAAGATAACCGAAGAACACGCCTGGCATCCCAACACTGGACGCCATATTGCTTTCGCATCGAGCTATGTCGTGCCTCGGTGAATACAATGGCTCGATCCGCTACGATTTCGTAACAGAACAATCTCGCGAAACAGCAATTTATGCAAATCGATTCACGGTCGACTGTGAGGTTAGCTTTTTATTAGGTACTAATTTAGTATCTAAATGGGAATAAACTTGAAGATTGCATTTATTAGTTTATTTCATATTCAAAAATGATTTTAAAATAGATTTGAAATAGTAATTTGAATTTCAAAAACGAATTATCTCTTTCAATTTCCTACAGTCCCCATATTGCTAGACCCACGGGCGGATCTACGGGGGGGGGCTTTCGGGCTGAAGCCCCCCCCCAAAATGGTGAAACATAACCACGTTTTACGGGGGAAAAAAATTAAAAAATACCTCTTAAAATATTATTGTTGGTTTAATTACATTTAAAAGGACTTAAGGAGTCATTTAAACACCATTTCATATAGATAGTTAGTTTCTTTCTGTATTTCCAAAGTAAATACCGTTATTTTTATGAAAAAAAATCTTCCGGGCTGAAGCCCCCCAAAATTAAATCCTGGATCCGCTAGTGGCTAGACCTGAGGTCCGAAAGTATTCCACCCTACTCTCCCATGTGATAAATATATGTGTGTCTATGCAAGGGTGCCCATCCCCCCAAAGTCGATGGCGCATGAACCTTCTCTCCCCTTCCCAAGATGATTTATTGTTATCCCCTTCTTAAAAACATTTCTCCTTAAAAACTCTACCCTACCGGTAAGGCAACGGGTGTTGTGCTGTATTCAGACCAATTACATTTTTTTTTCTTTTTCAGCTGTGCACAGCCTGCTCTTCTTTCAGCTGACGTCTTCCACCCTCTCTGGCGGCCTTCCAGATCCATCTCTTCTTTCCAATGAAAAGTGCGTTGGACCAACGAGTTCCTTCAACCCGTATACGACGGCCTTGTAGTACGGGTAGTTCTCCTTAGACAATATTTGAGGGAGATCGCCCTCCGTTAGAACGTAAAGTCGATCATGCAAGACAAGAACGGTATGCTTTCTTCAACGTTCTTACCATATTCAACGAGCTTGCTTGGAAACCCTCATACCCCGATATACAATTACACTTGATGAGGTTTGTTCCATGTATTCCCTTTGTCTTCTTGTATGAAACTTTTCATTCTGAAAATTCATAAATCCGTCGAAATGAAACCCCTTTCTGGGCATCACTGTGTCTATGAATACATATGTATATCGTATTATTTCTTCTTTTATACGATATAAGCAATGAACTAACTGTATATAATGCCTGTATAATAATGAAGTATAAAACGACAGGTAATTTCATAGATAAGTGAGGAATCTTAATTTCAGCTCTCAAATTCCTAAAAAAACTTTAATGAAAGACACGAAAAAAATTGGGAGGATTCTAAACGTAGATGGTTAAGAAGTCGAAGGGCCGAGACGGTTTTAATGTTTTTAACGATTTTAATGCGGACATCAAAATTTGGTAAAATGTACCAATTTTGAGATAAGAGAGAGAAATACTCTATTTAAATAATAGCTGTCCTACTATATTGGATTGCTCAATACACAGCATACTAATCAATCCTTTTTTGGATATAGCACTTAATTTTGAACCACATATATATAGAAATAGAAATATATATATATAGAGAAATAGAAATAATGAAGAAAAGAATAGTTGGGGTGGTCAGTCAAAAAGGAAGGCCAAAAAATAAATGATAATATTTATTTTTTGCCTTCCTTTTTGACTGACCACCCCAACTATTCTTCTCTTCATTATCCACGACAGTCAACCAATTACCAATTAGAAATAGAAATAGAAAAATCGTCTTTATTCTGGGACTAGGTCCCTTTAGAATAACGGTATTGTTCATATAAATTAACCATAAATCTGGCCAAAAGACTTATTACAATGAATAATAACAAAATACTTGTAATAAATTAAGTATTAATTAAGCTCTTAGGATAAATTAACGAGAACAGTTGGGTAATTGGGGTTCAGTACTACAATATTGGAGCTAAAACAATAGCAAAATAATCACTGAATGAAATTAGAAAGGAACGCAAAATCTATTTTATAGGTAAAGCATTGTAGTGATGGAATATAAAAATTTAAAAAAATTAATAATAAGTGTTAATATGTAAAGAAAGAAATTGTAAAAAAAAAAAAAAAAAAAATTATATACATATGTTCCCTAAGATATTTAAGTGACTATGCGTAAAGATTAGGAGAAGAAAAAATAAAATAAAGTATACATATATACACACACATATTCTTTTCCTCCTTTTCTATATCTCTTACCATATACAATATATATATTTCGGCGAAGCCGATACAAATAAAAACTCTGAAATTTATATTAAAACAAAAATAAAACATGATACTCGAATGCCGAAATTCCAAAATCAGAATGCACACATAAGTAAATTCATAATCCTATGAACACAGACAAAAAGATACGATAAAATATTTAAAATTGAATTAATAATTATGTGATAATAATAATTCATGCTAAAAGTCTCTTACGTTCTGCTGTTGCCATGGGAACATCCTTATCACATGTTCAGCTTGAATGATTAAATAAAGATCTTTAATTACTAGACCATCATCAATCTGAATACAATCATCAATCCACACTAAACCCTAAAATCACGAAGGTCTGAATCGATGTTGCGTGCCTAGGTAAAGCGGCAGGTATATCGTGAATTTATTCGCCTATCGGAGGTCGTTCACCTTCTATTCATTCAATGGCCTTACTATTGTACTTTGATCTGGCTAATTCGTCAACTTTACATCTCGGAACAATTATTTCCCTAAACAGATCCCAGTTCTAGATTTGGCCAAAGACCACACACACAATCCATTTAAATTCGCAGGCATGAGAATTGGCAGAGGATCACAAAAGTTCACGGGTTAAGTGTAATAATTAGTATTATTTGTATCTCGGGTCGGCTGCCAACTTAGGGCTGCCAAAGAGCTATGCATCTTCCAAAGAGGTTTTAAATCATTCCAACTTCCATTTAGTTATTTCGGCACTACTTAACTTAGTGAAACTCATTAATGTGACGTAGTTGCCCGACCTGTGGGATTTTCCAGAAGATACCTAGAGATGACCTTTAAGATGACCAGCAATTTCAGCGGACCAGTAGGGGAGCTTCTTTCTTTCTTCACCTTTACACTTCCATCATCCCATAGATAAATAGAGACTCTCATTCTTCAATAGTAGTAACGAACACATAGCATTCTCCAGTCATAAATATATATATGTATATTGAAGAATATTTTTAATATACATAGTTATAATAATACACATATATATACTTATATGTATATCTAAGTATATTTTTGTGGATAGTGGAAGATCTCCGATGAGTAACGATCGAGTAAAGTTGACTAATTGGAGTGTTTTTGTATATGGATTAAAATATCGCAAGAAATAAAAATCTGGTGCGCGCTACACAAAGTTGTGTGTGAAAGATAATAGCTACGTTGATGCGCAAGTGAAATTATATCAACATTACAAAAATAGAAGTAGATTTTAATTTTCAAAGCGAAGTAATCTATAACTAAGAATATAAACTATTTATTTAAAAGAAGGAGATGGTCCAGGGTGGCGGTCATAAATAGCTTAAATAGTGGTAAAACTATTTTATTAAAAGCCAACGTTTCGACCCGACTTTGCAGATCTTCTTCAGGGAGGTGTTTTCAGCCAGGAGTTTCACTTAGAACTGAAACGCTGGCTTTTAATAAAATAGTTTTACCACTATTTAGCCTATTTATGACCGCCACCCCAGACTATCCCCTTCCTTTATAATGCAACTGACAACTATTAAATATTCAATATTTATTTAAAAAGGCGTTTAAGTATCATAATACATTTAATTCATTAGTTTATGCCAACTATAAACCCCAAAACAGAATAAGTAAAGATAAATAATAAATTTTTAGATTTCAAACACGATGATTGACTGATTAAAATATATTTTGTCGAAATTGTTCAGAAATATAAAATTGTGAAAAAAAAAGCTGGTGCGCGCAACACACAACTTTCACTTACCGCTCAACTTTGAATAGAAATTATTTTCTGGCCATGTTGGGTTATTATACAATTTTTAACTGAGCTAAAGCTGAAAGATTGCAGCTAAAAAAATCATGAATACTATTAAAATAACAAAAGTCCTATTTATGATATCACTGGTTGATTATGGATTGTACGATTCGTTGATTATGGATTGTTCGATCCTTTGATTATGGATTGTACGACTATTAGTTATTAAACTGTTATTTTCCATTGCAAAGTTTATTAAAACGGAACTGAGATTTGCATTGTCTGTCTTATACAGGTCAAAAGTTGTCACACTAATTGTAGTTAGATACTGTTGGAATATCGCAAAGATAATGATTTCTCGGAATAAACGGACGATAGATATCTAATTATTTAAATATAATGTCAGATCTAGAGTTATTAAACTACAGTAAATATATTTAAGGTTATAAACATATCCATGAAATATTTTTATATTTCACTTCTTTCACACAAGTACAATGAAATAGTATCTTAGACAATGTCATTGCCTTGAATCCGTGGGTTTTAAATACTTTTTCAAACTTTAAAAAAAAATTACATTTACCAAGGAAATTTCCCTCATTTCATCCTCTTTTTAATGAGCTATTATTCAAAATTGTATCTTAACGCGACGTCATGTTGGAGACGCGAAAAAGAAAAATTGTATCAAAAACTCAATTATAACATGGTATCATAAACTGAGTTTTATGGAAGATATGGATTAAAATATCTCAGAAACTAAAAGTCGGACCTGCATACTGTAAGCATTCATCCTCTTTATAATGAGCTATTATTTATAATTTATATTTGGTATTATTATTAATTTCGCTTGGTTGATATTTTCACTTCTATCGTGTGGTCTAAAGCACACACCTTTAGTTTTTTTTACATATTTTTTAAATACATCAGTTTTCGTCTGGAACCGGTAGAAATATAAATATTAAATAATGAAGAGAAGAATAGTTGGGGCGGTCAGTCAAAAATGAAGGCAAAAAT